ACTTGAATTTTTTCATTTAAAAACTATTCCTGTTGTATATAAAAGAAGATTTTTTATTTCCCTTTTTCCTATTACTCTGCCTCTCAATGAATATAAATATTCTATGCTGCTGCTGCCACAAGTCCATGAACAAAAAGCACCTGAGTTTAGTGATGTTCATGAGGTGACTCATCTGTACCAGTGTTTATAAACTCGAAGGTTTTGGTCTACGTTCCACTGAACAAATCCTGAATGCATAACTGCTATGTCAATCTGTGATACCCAAAGTCTTGATAATTTCATTTATTTATTTTTTTTTTGTTTGAGGCTGCTGCCTCAAAACTAGGGGGTTTTGAAAAGTTGTGGAGTTTCACCTCATTCTGTGCTTTGTTGACAAAGCCTCTGATATGTTCAAGTGGGAGCCCTTCCTGTAACTAGTGTCAGCTTATTTACAACTTGAGTGTTTTGAGAGTAATTCTGGCATGCTCCGAGAAAAGCCATCAGGCAGGTTTGGTATGTTTTCATCCCTAGGCAACTTTAGGAAACGTTTCAAGTCTCTTCTGGTACTAATGAACTTTGCAGTATTCCAACGGGTTTCAAACCTCATACAGACACTCACTGGTGCTGACTCAGAGGAATCAACCAACAAACGGATTGTCTGCCAAAGACACAGGGTTAACCCCACAAATGTGCCTTCTGCCTTTCCACATTTTCGGTGGGTGGGTCTATATAGTAGTTTTATCATAAATACCGTACACTCTTACATTTCTATGGTTAGTAGACAATAAACTAAACGGTTAAGCACACATTACAATAGCATTCTATTTTACTTAACCTTAGAAATATTTTCTGGCTTTCAGATAACACCTGTCTATGTGCCTAGAAGCAAGGGTTTGTTACCTGTCTGTTTCTCCCAGCCCGTTTACGTGTTTTTGAAGCAACAGTTAGTTAACTCTCTGTCTCTCGCCCAAGGGCAGTTGCCTATTTGCAGCTAGCAGTTTTGCCTATTCGGTTAAGTGTTCTTATTTGCTAAGTCACACTAAAGAAGGCCTGTGTTTGCTAATTACAATTCCAATATAAAGTTGACAATTCTTTGTTTCAATCCCGCCTTTTCTAATCCTATTGCAAATTCTTCTGCAAGATCTTGTTTACAGTCCATAAGACATGTACTTACTGAGTGACAAGTTCGGATCCTCCACCACATCCAAAGATTCATGATGGTCAGGATCAAGGCCACAAGGATCAGTATTAGCACCGGATACACTAAAAAGTTGAATAGTTGAGCTGCTGCTGGAGATTTTAACTTCTTCCATCCTAGGAAGACATCCCACCAATGGTGTCCTCCTGTTTTTTGTATTTGGGTTGTGATCTCATTAATTTTGAAGATGTCATGTTCTGCTGTCCAAAGGGCTTGTTGTGAGGTTTTATGGACCTTTTGTAATAAAGCTTCAGTACCTGGGTGATGCAGAATCTGCTTCAAAATCCTAGAGTCCATTCCAATCTGTAATTTAGGGACCTCATTAAACAACACATATTCATCAGTGATCAATTGAGTGGTGGCGACTGGAACAGTATGATAAAAATCACATCCTATTATAGTAGTAAAATTACATACACAAAAATCAGTTCCATTAGTTATTTCTTCACATGAGCCAATGCTTATGTTATGACAGTGAGCTGCCACCAGCCCTGGTAATTTTTTTGAGACTGAGTGGTAGTATCAGTTTTCGCTATTATTTCTTTTATTTCTTGTGGCAGTCTCCCCGACACTCCTTCCCTAATGATATCTGATAGTACAGTTTGTAGCCATAACTGTGACTGTATACACTGAAGGGCAAGGGATAAATTACCTTGTAATCCTCCTTCAAAGGATACAACTGACTGAAAGTCTTTTTGGGTATGTCTGGACAGGGTGGTCAGTAAATCTGCCGTCAGTTTTTGTGTGTCTGCTAGCGTGAATAGTGATGATCTTAATGGTACTTGGAACTGGCCCAAGTCTGTAGTGACGGTACTTAATTTATTAATCAGTACCTCCTGATCTATAGAGTTAAGTATTCCTAATCCTGACCCGAACCATCCTGCTAAATCTTGCTTGACCTGGGTATTTAGTGTCCGTGATTTTAGCCACTCTTCCCATCCTTGTAAGCTTTGTGCTATAAACTGAGAACAGTTCTGTTGTACTTCTGAAATATTTGCTTGAATCGTAACCTCTAATTTCTTTAGCGAGTACACTGGGTCTAGTAATAGTTTCTGTTCATTAGTTTGTTTTACCACATAAGGTCCTGCAAATGAAAACTTATGATAGCTTACAGCACACACAGATGGTACGAAAGGGGGTGGTGAAGGAGGAAGAATAAATAATAACACTAAATCCTCAGAAAGGTTTGATTTTTCAGACATCTTCCAGACACTCTTTATGTAATAGTATAGTTCTAATTCCTTCACTTGAACTACAAGTCTACATAGCATCCTGTTTGAACAAGGAACACTTTGTGTGATCTTATTCTTCTTCCACGGTGTTCCTGGTAGCTTTATTTCATAAAGGTCTAGTTTTCCCAAGGTTTTATGTCTTATGGTTACAGTAAAATCCTTTACTCTAGCAGATAGGGTATAAGTACGGGATAAAGGCAAACCCAGGCTTGTTTCATTTCCTGTATATTGAATATTTGTCTGTCCTGCCACTATATGCACCATAAAGTTTCCAAATTTATCTCCTGATTTCGCTTTCCTGGTCCTTCCTCTTTCTGATTCTGGTAAAGAGGGCAGCTCTCTGTTCTGCTGGAGACTTTGGGCAAGCTCCTTCCCATTCTCTTTCTCTCTCCCTTGCCCATGATTCTGCAGGGGCGACATAATCTTCTTTCTTCTACTTCCCTGTATTTTAAGCATCTTTGCCCGATAGAGCACGCAGAACAGCACCACCTCAGTTTCCCTTTTCCATCCCATCAATTGTCCTGTTATAATGTTGACACAAAGGGGTCCCTTGGGGACAAATTAATGACACATTCTGTTTCTATTTTGGGGTGATCTCTTAAGTAAAAGAACATGTCTGCATGGACCACCTCATCCCACTTGACTTCCCATCCACGCTCAGTGCTTAGTTAACACCCACTTTCTGCAGAAAATACTATACACGGGATCCACACACACATCATTTGAAACAGACCAAAAGCCAACATATTGTCAAACTTACAACAATCGCAATTCCAAATCCTAGTCCAAATCCAGCCACAAAGATAAATCCAAAAACATTCATTCCTTTCTTTCTAGACCCTTTTATAAGGAGTCTGGTAGAGCTTTGGTGGGACTCTAACCCACATTCAAAAGCTCTTTGACCCCTCGGTGAGACCTTAATCCACACTCAGAAGGTATAGCTCGCCTTTAAGTGTTTAACTGTTTTGCGGTTGCTTCTGCAGTATTCAAACCTGCCTACCTCCTTCTTTTTTCTTTTATGGGACTCTAACCCACAATCCCGAGAGGACTCCCATGCCTCTACAACTTCCTCAGGCTATCCTGCATATGACTTATGGATTTTAGCCAGTATACCTTTTAATAAAATACCTTTAAAATGCCTTTTAAATACCCTTTCAAAATACCCCCAAGGTTTCAAATTTTACGTCAGGTATTTTAAATGTGGTTTACCAATCTGCATCGGGATCTTGTCTGTCCCCGCACTGATCCAAGGGTCCGTGGAACCTCCTGCGGAGCAAAAGGGCTCCGGGGTGCCCTTGGAGGGTCCCCGGCCCAAAGGGTCTCACAGCCAAACAGAGATTCTCCTGGTGGCTCGCCAATTGATTCAAAGCAATCGACCAACAAACGCATTGTCTGCCAAAGTACCTTTATTCATCTTGGTGGAGAAGACACAGGGTTAACCCCACTAATGTGCCTTCTGCCTTTCCACATTTTTGGTGGGTGGGTCTATATAGTGGGAACCCCCGGTGGTCTAGGGGAAAAGACACTGCACTGTCACTGCAGAGACCCGGGTTCGATTCCCAGTCAGGGCCCCTCCCCGGGCAGATGGAGCTCGTTAGCCCTGTAAGGCAATCCATCTACGTCCTGAGGACCTCGCTGCCACCGTCCAAGCGTGCTTGGCCCCGGCAGACAAACCTCAGGATTAAAGGGTGGGCTCAGTTCCGCGCACACTGTGTCTCACCTAAAAAATCCAATGCGCAGGCTGGAAGGTGTAAAGACCTTCCCCGGTTCTTCGTTTGCGAAGACTGGCCATTACTTACTTACCATTACATTACTATATAGTAGTTTTATCATAAATGCCATACACTCTTACATTTCTATGGTTAGTAGCCAATAAACTAAACGGTTAAGCACACATTACAATAGCATTCTATTTTACTTAACCTTAGAAATATTTTCTGGCTTTCAGATAACACCTGTCTATGTGCCTAGAAGCAAGGGTGTGTTACCTGTTTTTCCCAGCCCGTTTACGTGTTTTTGAAGCAATAGTTAGTTAACTCTCTGTCTCTCGCCCAAGGGCAGTTGCCTATTTGCAGCTAGCAGTTTTGCCTATTCGGTTAAGTGTTCTAATTTTCTAAGTCACACTAAAGAAGGCCTGTGTTTGCTAATTACAATTCCAATATAAAGTTGACAATTCTTTAAGCATCAACAATTTCCATCAGATTTCATGCTTTTCATGCTTTTCATGAAGGAGTGTCAATGCTGTTTTTATTTCACAAACTGGATCTATAGGGGCAGCGTGTGGCGAAAACCCCGTCCCGGCGCCAGACAGGGGAGAAATGCCCACAGAGGGCACAGATCGCGGGCACGGCCCGAGTGCGGCCGCGGCGCCCCCAGGCCCGGGCGACTCCCGCTCCCTGCGCGCGGCGGCGGTGCGGGTGGGGCCGGGCCGGGGCTGCGGCGGCGGGCGGAGCATGCGCGGCGCGGGCGCGGGGCGGGATGGTGGCGGCGCCGGCCGTCGGGGGAGCAGGTCAGTGACGGAACGGGCGGTGCGAGCGCCTCCGGCCGCCCACCGCCCAGCCCGGCCCCGAGCCGGGCAGGGGGCCCGCAGCAGCCTCCCCATGAGCGCCTCGGTGCCTCCCGGCAGCGCCGCGGGGGCGGTGCGGGCCGCGCCCGGCCGCGGCTCCCGCCAGTCGGGAGAAGGAGGAGATGGTAGTGACGGTGGTGGCGGTAGCGGTGTCGCTGATGCGCTGCGCCTTTTGTTTTCCCGTCAGGTGTTCTCCCCCTGGCTTCTCATGCCCTATTACCAGGAGGATTTCTTCAGAGAGTACCTCAAGATGATGGCGAATATGGTCATCCTGAACTTGCTCATTTGTATTTCGCTGGCTTTCTGGATCGTGTCCATGACTGCAAGTACGTACTACGGTGAGTCCAAAGGCCGGGGAGAGGCCGGCGTGGCATGGCCGGGGGTGAACCCTCCCATCCAGTTCCTGCAGGCTTGACACACAAAATGGGAAGAGGGGTGTGCACAGCCCCGTTTTTCGTCAGTAGAACTGAAAATCTCACCACTGACAGTACCTGATAGTGTAGGTGCTGACAGCCACCTACTTGCAGCTCTGCCCACGGATCCTGTAGTATTTAAAATGTTGGTATTCTTTATGATTTCATTCCCTAAAAGAAAGCAAATAAAAATTAAAAAGTGAAAAGAAAGAGCCAGCCGACAGAGGTCTTTCTGGGTGAGGGAAAGTATGTGACAGCACAGAATGAGTGTGCCAGCCTTCAAAACTGTTCTGGGCATGCACATGCAGCAACGTGCAGAACAGGGCGTGCAGGAAGAATTCCTTGGTCAAGGAACACAGAAGAAAGATGGGAATGTATGCATGGAGTGGCTGGCATGGGTGTGTACTGTCAGCTCAACGTTCTGTTGAGGCAGCTCAGACTTAGTAGTGTATAGTTGCAGGGACGCAAGTACTCTGTGGTCTGTCATTTTGCCTCTAGGACTGTTCTTACAGCAATGTGTGGAAGCAGCAGCACTGCCTTGAGTATCAGTTCAAGTCTAGAAGAGTTTAACTGCTTTTCAGGGCAGGTCCTTAAGACCTCAGCCAGTTTATTTTGGAAGAGCTCCAGTGTCATTGCAGTGTTGCTGAAAGTGCTTAGGGATGCAGAATGAACACCTTTGACTGCCCAGTGTCACTCTGGATCTAGAAGAAGTTAGAACAAGTATACCACCAGTATAAGTTGATTTTGCAGTGGCAGTTGGATATCTCTGCTCAGTGTTTTTCAGTGCTTTGGGTTTTAGGATGGAATATTAGTTCTGGTACAGCATTAAATCTGTGTTGTCTGGACACTTCTTTGGCTTGTAGTGAGATGCCAGACATGCAGAAGGTAGGCAGAAGCGGCTTCACAAGCGGCTTTGCTTGTGTCCATTAGAGCTAAACAAGTTGGATTTAAACATGCAACTTCATTTGTGTGTGTCTGCTCTCTAAAGCTATAGCTTTCTGAGTTTTTCTGATAATTAGGATATTCTAGTCCCTGCTATCTAAGGTGATTGGCAGTGGAGAGTTGAAAGACTCGATATCAGGTGATTTGGGATAGGGAGTGATAGAAAGGAGGGGACTGGAGACTAATCCTCCTTTTTGTAGTGAATGATTATGGCACAAGGACATACAACTTCTATTTTTCATTTGCCTGAGACTATAAAGAGCTCGGCTTGAGGAGGTGAATAAAATGTATAGTACTTAGTAGGCTTAATAGATTAAGCCCATATAAGTGATGAAATTCACAGTCTGTAACATAAATGCAAAAATATTACAGACATCCTTTTATTAATTTACAATTTCTAGTAATGCTTATGCACCAAAAGTAACCAAAATATTGGTAAAGTGGGAGTGCCAGAGAATCCGTAATGAACCAATGAATGTGTTCTATCTTACTTGTAACTGCTTGTATTCAGGAGTAACTTAATACCAATACTTTTCTCCCCTTCAAGAAAATACAAAAAGGTTAGTTTAAAAATGTCCTTGAAAAGATAAAAATTCTATTTCTTAGCCAAGGAAAAAGAAACCCTTTGTGTTCCAGTACTGCTCACACTGAAGTTTACGCTAAGAGCTGCCTTGGTCTGTGATAAGCAATACCAGGCTACAGCACTGGAGGTCTCTTCATAGGTAGCCAGTGCTTGTCTTCTGAATTCTTTAGTCAGCCCTTGTCTGCAAGACTCCCTTGCTCACCTGCTATGGCACTGGGGCTTTTCAGTACACAGAAGAGAAGTTTTTGCCCTGTGAATGTTTGCACTTGCAATGAGTGTCTTACTGTGATTTCAGAGACATTTGTTCTGCTTTGCACCAAGGAGCCTGTGTATGTGCGAAGGTCAGGGTACTGCTGAACACAAAAGTTCTTGTTGAAAACTGCCGTGTTTAGCTCTCCAGCAAGACAAGCTGCTGTGTCTGTGTGAAGTCTCTATTATCTGAGCTAAGATTTTTAGCTCAAAACTACATTAACTGTTGGTTTTATTTTTTAAAAGTTTTTGGGTTTTTCAAACAAAAACTGTAACTTGAAATTTTGCTATAGTCATCAGCTTAAGGGATATTTTAAAGAGCCGTACTTCAAGCTCAGAAGAACTGATAGTGCTGATGTTTCATGAAGTGGTCACACTACTTTCCCCTAGTGGATTGTCTTTCTTGTCTTCTTTATAGTATTGAAATTCTATCACAGTAAGGAGTGTAGTTCAGGATATAATCAATAGCTTCCTTATCTCTTAAGATGACAAGGATGGAAGATGTTTAAACTTTAGTATTAAGGAATAATTTCAGACTTTTAAATTTCAGTGTTTTACAAGATGTACTTTTGGCATCCTTTGCAATGAACTTTGTGTCCTCCAAGTTAAAGTCAAAAGGAGGTGATAAAATATTAAGGCACTAAGGATCTTACTGCTAAGGCAGTAATTTATTGAGTCTGCAGAACAGGAAAATAATATCCTGCTCGGCTCTTGTAATTCCACACCATTCCATAAAGCAGTAGTATCCACAGCAACTGTCTTCTAAGGAGACAGTTTATTATCAATGTCCTAAACATATTTATTTCCTTCTAATATTCCAGAACACTCACTAAAATAAAAGAAGTTAATAAAGGATTTATGATTATCCAATTAAAAGGTATGTTATTTTAAACAGAAAAGACTCAATAAATTACTGTCTTTCTTCTAGAAGGTAGAAAGTTTTAATCTCTATTAAGGTCAGACTCTAAGTATATACTAGAAGGTAATTTTACAGATATGAAGGCATTGAAAAGGTTTATAAGGATCACCTGAAACCCTGTTATTTGATTTCTCAGGTACTTTACGACCCATTTCTCCATGGCGCTGGCTTTTTTCAGTCTTGGTTCCACTAATTATTGCTGCGCAGGGTTTTAAGAAGAAGAGTCTTGATCACAGTGGTGCATTGGGAGGTATGTTAAACTCAATATTTAGTAAATTAAGTTAACTTCCTTTTTGTTGTTTGTAATTTTTAAGACTTTAGTACTTGGTTCTATTATAATAAAAGTGTAAATGTAAGCGTACATACCTTAAATTCATACTGTTTTTTTCTCTCATGCCTGTTTAAACACAGAATTTTGTGCTACTTTGATTATTTGATTAATTTGATTAATTTGTCATTAGATTTATATAAACCTAGAAAATTCTTTTAAACTTCATTAGAGTATGTAGTTAAATCACATGTTTTGTTTTAACATACAGATGGATTTACAGAGAATTAAATAAATGGCAGAGGTCATAGTAAAAAATACCCTAAAACTGATCCATGTCAGCACCCTACCTGCCTCTGGGAGGAAACCAGTTAAGAGAACATGGTTCTCCTTACTGTAATAGAAGTGGTTCAAGGCATTTTTGGCTGCCAAAAATAAGAAAATTAAATCTGTACTTTAGTTCAAACAAATGACCATTTCGATAAAGTTTTTCTTGACTGCCTGATAAAAAGTGCAGCACAGTGTACAATAGTGTTTATTGAAATTCGATGCAAGATTTCCGGCTGAGGTGATTCACCCTGGTCTTGTGACATTGTCTGAGTTGATGACCAGTGGAATGAAGTGGGACCTCAAATCTTCTTCTCCAGTGTTGCCCATTTTGCAAATCTTGTTCTGTCTGCAGGTTAAGGGGAGCATTTTCTAGATTTAAAAAACTCTTTTTCACTTCTACGTTTTTACTTCTTAATGTAACAGCTCTGCTAAGAGGTTTATATTGACGTCTGCCCTAAGTGCAGCCAATTTTCTTTCAGTCATTTAGAATTGTAATCTCATGATGGGGAGTGAAATGAGACCTCCTTTGTAAAGGGGGACATAAAAATTAATCACATCTAGAAGCTCAAATACTTTAAAAAATTACAGAAATTTAAAGATGGCATAAAAATTAGAAACTGGAAAAAAAAAGAACAGAAGGGAGAAGTAGCATCTGCTAAGATACAGAGGAGGGTTATAGTGGTTATCTTAGAGACCTTGGATGTGGGATTTGATACCTAAACTGATGATAAACTTGCTGATAAAGGCATAGCTACAGCTGTATATCTGCTCCTTATACAAGTAAGAGTATTCTTCAGGCAGAGTGCTTAAATTTCAGTTATATATCCTCTGGATTTTGCTTTGTGTTTTTTTATTGCTCTTTTATTTTTGCACATTATTACTGATTTGGGGCAAAAGAAGGTCTTAAAAATCACACAAGCAGTAGCAATTAAATTAGCAATTTAGCAGTAGAATCTGTGACTGCATGATTGTCTTAGGTATCATGAAGATACTCTTCATATTCAGAAAATTCAAATTACTTAAGTGCTTTGCAAAGCAAGAATTGTCACATGGAGGAACTTGTACTTTTTTTTTTTCTTTATAGGATTGGTGGTTGGATTTATCCTTACAGTCGCAAATTACAGTTTCTTCTCTTCTTTGTTTGTATTTTTTGTTACTTCTTCAAAACTTACTAAATGGAAAAAAGATATAAAGAAGCAAATAGATTCAGAATACAAAGAAGGTAAGCCAAAATACTTTCCAGCTTTCAGATCCCTTGTGGAGAATAAATACTGCATATTCCTATTCCTTTCGAAGGGTCAGATGAGATGTAACATCCCGAATAGGGAACACTGTTGTTGTGACTCCCCTCTACCCTTATCCCTGTAACATTAGCGAGTGACTTTACTTTTGCCTCTGTTCTGTTTAATAAATTGCTGTCTTTATTTATTTATTTTAAGTTTCTGTTTGGAACATGTGTCTTTTTAAATTTAACTTTATATATGTGTGTTTTGCTTTTGTCTCATGCTGTTGCTTGTCAATTATTGTTATCTGAAATTACTGAAAATTTATTTTTTATTACTTCAGGTGGACAGAGGAATTGGGTTCAAGTATTCTGTAATGGTGGTGTTCCTACTGAGCTGGCTCTCTTATATATGATAGAAAATGGACCAGGTGAAATTCCTATTGACTTTTCAAAGGAATACACAGCGTCATGGATGTGCTTATCCCTTTTGGGAGCTTTGGCATGCTCTGCTGGTGATACATGGGCTTCAGAGATTGGTAGTGTTATGAGTAAAAGTAAACCAAGATTGATAACAACCTGGGAACAGGTTCCAGTAGGTAAGGTATTACCTATTCTACATGTTCTGAATATTTTGTTAATCTGTTTTGAATTATGCATCCAGCTTGAATAGTTCCAAGAAAGACTGAGGAAAAACAAACATCGGAAATCTGGGATTGGTTGGGATGCACCAACACAGGATCCACGGAGCTAAAGTCATTCTGAATACTGTCATTTCTCATCTCTATTAAAAGTGTTTATGTTGCTACTAGTATAAAGAATACATGTTATCAACTCATTTTTCAGGCATTCATATTTTAATGAGTAGAATATATGTATGTATTCAACACAGACAATGCAGAAAATTCAGTTCTTAACCAAATCACTCATTTCCTTTAATACCTTACCAAGGGTGTGCAGGTGACCTTTGTGTCTGTCAAACCTTGTCTCCACAGTGAATGTCGCTGCTGCCTTAAAGGAGTGTCTTATCTTGCTGGTATATTGATCACTTATAGATCTTGTTGGATAGGATTTAAATGCTTGGAAGTATTTTTTACCTTTATATGCATTCTTCAGTTTTTTATTCAATGAGCTGTCACATATCTTGCTGTCTATAGATTTTCTTCTTTTCTTTAAATATGTCTGGCTATACTTCTTCTTAGAGAGGCATTGCTTTAATAACATGCACATATCAAGGTCTGTTTTTTGAAGCAAATCTCTTTTTTTATCCTGCCCCCACCATGACCTACAACAGACAAGTACCAGGTTACACTGAGAGGTGTGCTGTCTGGTTTTATTTAATTTAATGCTAGTGATTATTTCTAGATAACTAACCCTAGAGACAGGAAAAGAGTAGTAACAGGCCATAATGGTTCAGGTTAATCTTCTCAGTTGCACACTGAGAGTTGTAAATAAAAGCTGCAGTAGCAGACTCTTGCGGATAGAAGGGGAGAAGATCAGTACAAACAGTTTTGATGTCATGTAAAACATTTGAACAAATATAAGTCTTTAAAAATGTTTTTAAATCAGCTTTGTTTTGTTTGATTTAGGTACTAACGGAGCAATTACATTAGTAGGCCTGCTCTCAAGTTTGCTTGGGGGCATGTCAGTAGGTATAGCCTACTTCATAACACAACTCATTTTTGTGACTGATCTGGAAATATCTGCTCCACAATGGCCCATTATTGTGTTTGGTGCAGCAGCTGGCCTACTGGGATCAATTGTTGATTCATATTTGGGAGCTACAATGCAATACAGTGGTAAGATTCTTCTTTTTTTTCTTCCCCCCCCCTCCGCCTTTCCCAGTGTAACCTAAAATTGGACTTGAATTTCAAGAAGTGTTGAGGGCATGATTTTTAAATTGAAAAAATAAAGAAGTAGCAAAACAAAGGACAAAGGGAGCAAAAGTAATGGACATGATAATGACAACCAGCAAGGGCAGTGGCTCCTTTTCAAATTTTGATTTGTTTACTGTAGCTTACTGTCTTGGTGATGACTGAAAGAGATCAGAGATCTCCAACATGTTACCTTGGGAGAAGTCATAGCTGCCCTCTCCTCTTCTATATATCTAATTATAGTAGCATTTTACAAGGCAAAATGTCAGTTTAATTTTATCCATTTACTTGTATTAAGTTGTCACTGCAGAAGCTCCCTTCCTAACTCTGAAGTCTTAGCAGTAGTCTCAGTTTTAAGAATTAAAAATGAAAAGCTCCAGGAAAATGTGAACAATGTTTTATGTTCTGGGGTTTTTTCACTGCTTCATAGAGTACTGTTTCCTATAAGTTAAGCTTATCATAAACTAGCTGTGATTGTAAATCAAAAAGAGCATGTCCATTTTTCAAAAAAAAATGTTGGCTTGATGATTCTAAATTATTTCAGTGTTTACTCATTGCCCTGAAGGATCATTGTCTGTGACAACCTACAGACAACCTTTAGGATAAGCTGTAAATTTACCCTACATTTAAAAATCATTTAAAAACTATATCTGACACTGTTGTGTTTAACAGCTTGCTTACAGAGAGAACTAAAGTTTCTAGGTTTCGTTGTTGATATAACAGTTATAAGTTGGAAGTCAAGGTGTGAATGTGCAGGTGAACTGTCTGAGATACGCAATGCCCTTAGATCTACCACTGCAAGGAGAACTACAAACCGTTGCTGATGCTCTGTATTTGGTTTTCCAGCATTTTTTATGCTCTATTCTTGTAATTCCAGGAAAGTCCAAAGTGGAGTGTTTAGTCATTTGCTGAATTTTTAGATATTTCTCTACTGAAGAGAAAACACTTAAGCAGTCGGACAATGTTTCAAGCTCCTAATGAGGCAGATGCATTAAGAGAGTGGGATATACTTAGCTAATGCATGCTTGCATTTATCAGCATCTATTTCTTCTTCGTGTATTTTTTTCGTGCTCAGCAACTTCCTTTGCTAGCTGCAGCAGGGACTCTATGCAAGTTCCACAGTTTCTTTTACAAGTTCAGAAGCGCTGCTGGAGTACGTGTGCTGTATTATACACAGACATGCTGTGGTACACATATGCTGTGACACAGGTGAAATTGTGCTGCTCACATCATGCATGCTGTTCAGTTTTGTGTCCCTCCTTACTTTAGCCCACTTTCCCAGTTTCTTTTCAATGTGGACTCATAAGGAATACTGTAGTCCCTGCAGCAGCTTGAAAAACAATAAATATGACAGTGGTAATAAGGAATTGTGTCGTTTTTGAAAACAGTTAACTTGTACTGCTATGTACTTCTCTTAGTGTTTTTCCTTTTGGTAGTAGTCCTAGATTTGGTGTATCTAATAGCCTGTGGTACCCCCTGTTTCTAAAAGAAGGTCCATCCCTGCCCACACCTTGTTAATTAGAGCTTTGTCTAAATAGCTGTACAGAATTAAATTCAAATTTGCCCATGTTGTCAGTCTCAAGCTATACTTATTCTGTAAGAAATAAAGCTAATGGAAGGACTTGATGTTACTTTACCTACTTGTTTATGCTCTGAACCTACACTTTATGTACATTTGAGAGATATATTTAGAAAAATTTATTCCTTGCTTTTCCCAAGGAAACTTATTACTTTCTAAAATATAGCAAGTGTTAAGGGCTAAACTATTGGTCTTTGCAGTTTGATTTTTCTGTAGTTTTTTCGCATCTTGACAGGAAATACATGTTGCTAATCAGTTGCTTCTGTTCAAAACATCATCCTTTGCTTTAGAATGACTCTTGGAACAGCTTTTTCTTCTTCTGATTTATCGTTTCATTCCTTTCTTTGCTGTGAAATTGCATAAAGAGAGAAGTAGATTTGACAGAAGTGTAACTTCTCCAAAGAAGTAACTTCTAATGTCATGCATTGCATTTATACCCCATTATATGAAGGTACCAAATTAAACTGTAATTTAGTTTAGTCTGATGACATCTTCTTACAAAGGTTTAACACCGTAACGGTAAAATAAATTTAGGAAGCTGCTACACATGGTTACTAAGTTCCTTTTTAGCTTGGTTGGCATTGTAAAATGAAGTCTTTATCTTTTCCCAGGTTTTGACCAGAACATTGGAATGGTTGTTAACCACCAAACAAAACACTCCAAGCACATATCTGGAAAACCTATATTAGACAACAACGCAGTAAATCTTTTTTCTTCTGTAATCATTGCTTTGGTGCTTCCAGGCATGGCATGGTTTTTCTGGCCAAGGGGTTGAAATGGTCTAAGGCTTTCTGCGTGTGATTGATACGTGTTCAGTCTTACTCAGAGACTCTAAGGGATTCTACTTGAACTCTTTTGAAGAGAAGGATCTGGAACTTTCAGAGAGCCAACTTACTCATGTGGCAACCAGCATCTCTCAGGACTTGGAAGGCACTTTGTCAGTATGCTCTCGCTGCTCTTCAGACAGATGTAGGTCATTTCCAAGTGAGGTGAAGCATTTGCTTCATTTATCCTCATGGAGCTGAAGTTGGTGTCTGTGTTCTCCAGTCTTCAGCATCTGGAAAGGCAAGAAGCTGGAAATAGAAGGTGTGATGGAGCATTGTGGCTATTTTCCAAACCAGACACAAAGTACACTGGAGCTTTATTTAGGCAATGGTAACATGGTTGAAGTAGCTGAGTTCTGCTATTTCCCATAGTTTACAGTACTAAGATCTTCTAGAAGTATTTGGACAGGGAAGAGAGAATTAAGCTTTGTTGTCTATTCAGTATCCTGATAGTATCTCCACTTCCCTGAGAATAGAATTCATAAAAGTGATGCTGTTCTGTAATGTCAAGCAACAATCTAAATTTAAAATAGAAACTGACTAGCTGTTCCAGTAAGAATAATAAATCTTTCTGTGGTTTTTTGACATCTTTATTTCAAAACGAATTATATTTATGAAGATAGTCGATACTGTGGTAGTTATTAAATAATTTAAAATTAAAGATAACAGTTGTGAATTCACATTCATCTCTTTAGAAATAGAACATTTTTTCTATAAGCATAGAGTTGTTCCATAATGTTTAGCATTCTGACCAAACTATACTCCCTGGTTATTTCTCGGTGAAAATGTTTCCCATTTTGTTTGGGGCTTCTATCCAGAGATGATGGCGTCAGCCAAAGAAGCTGCAGAAGTTATCCTTGTAGCAAATGGTGGAAGTCACATTTATAAACTATTTCAAAATGGAAATTTAATTTTTGATGCTCAGGCTCCTATGTTAGGTGATTGTGTCTTCCATCATTTATCTATAAAAGAGATAGAAGTAATTCAACCAGTAGAGATTGTATTTAAACTTTAGAGATACCTTCATAATAACTTCTCACTGTCGACGTTCAGAAACTAGGGCCCATACTGTTAACTTATGAAAAGCTTTTTATTTTTAGAGGTAGGTGAGTATTTTGTATTGAACATCAGGGGTTTTTTACAAATGTCTTGTGTATATTGCCTGTCTTAGTTCACTTGAATTGTTTATTATGTCACCTTTTGTGGGAATATTAAAAAAATTTTAACACCTTCCATATTGAGTTTTCTCTTCTGAAATATAAATCTGGAATTCATCACTGGAATTAGTTCACTATATTACCCAATTATAAAGATCAAAGTAGTAAAGGCTTTCTGAAAAGAACAAATTCTGTAGCTGCTCTATGTCTGTCCTGTGAAAAGGCACAAAATTGTAAAGGGAATATATGCACTTAAACTGTAACAATAAACCCTCGGGAATTTTATGCACTGTTTGGATTTATGCTGCTTCTAAATAAAAGCTGTATTAGTTGTCTTTTAAGATTGTATTAATACTGTTGTGGTTTTTAGAATTGAGAGAGATACAATTTTTGTTAAGTACTTTTTTTTCAATTAAATGCCTTATTTTTAGATTCTTATGTTTCCTGAAGTGAAGTATATTTTCAGACACTGGCCATGGTCAACTCTTCACTATTTAATGAGTCTCGTTTGAAAACCAGCTTGCCTTAGTGAGAAGACATCTGTGATTTCAAATTCATCGCAGCATGAAATCCTTTGATCTGCGATCATATGAACGAATGTGATCTGAATGAGCTCCTGTAGTTAAGATCTTCAAAGGCCATTATTTTGGATTTTTTTATTTGTCATGTCTTAGTGATGACACTTGAGTTGCTTTTGAAATTCTCTCTCATATGTTTCGAGTACACAGAAAGACCTGAGCACTCCTGAACTCTGGAAAGGACAATTACTCTGACATTTAACTCTGGGTATATTATATTGAGTGGAGTATAGCTTATGGAAATAAGGTTACATTTAACTGTTCAGTAGCTGACTGAGGGCTTTGGGAGGAGGTGGAGAGGAGAGTATGGGATACAGGGAAGAAGTTGCAGAATGTCACAAACTGCCTCTGTGTGTGTCACTAAGAGCAGTTCTGTGCTCAGAAGGGAGCAGACAGAGATACCACCTGTGCTACTTGGAGGGACAGATAATGCAGGAAGTAAAAGGGAAAGGGATAAAAAGAGGAGGAGTAAGAAGAAAACCAGAGAAATTGGTAGATTTGGAATTGCAAAATAGGTTACTGTAGTTAGCAAATTTAATTCCATTCTTTAAGCACTTGAATAATTCTTTTGCTTCAGAACCATCGGTACCTGTAGTATATTCCTCGGTCATTGCTTTTTCATTCATATTGAAGTGGCACCAGTATTTCCACAGCACCAAGAGTGTACACTCAAAACTTTTTTAATTGAAGAGGTTACAGTTGTAGGTCCTCATGCTTGGCTTGATTTGTGGATGTGATAGACGTTCAAGTAAAATTTTGGCATAATTGCATACGAGAAATCTTTAGGCAGGTCTCGCTCAGGCTTGGTGCCTTGATTCTGGCTGTTGAAGTATACTGGTGTCAGTCACTAGTATGCACTTACTTTTTTTATTTCTATTTTTTTATTACACTTATAGGTTGTCTTGGGCCTGTGCATGCTGCTGTTGAGTGGTCCATCATTGCAGATGTAAGCCATAGTACTCTGGGACAACAAAATAAAGTGGTACAAAAAGCAAAGGGAATATATCAATTCTCTTGTGTATTAAGGATTAGCTGATGTCTAGCAGACTGACTTTTTCTGGCAATAAAGGGCTGAAACATTATGAACTACTGTTGGTATTTTACAGCACCAGCTCTGGTACTATTCACATTAAAATCTATTAGGGTTGGGCATCTCAGATTTGTAAGTAGGATTACCAGAAGTACGAGCAGTACTTTGGTCCCCACTCAGCCTTTTTTTTACATTTCATTATGTAACATTTCAAATTGACCTTAAGTAGCTCTTCTTCAAGCAGGAGTTAAACTTTTTTATGGAAAATTTATTCATGTAGAGCTTTGTAGGTACATTACAGTCTCTGCTTCTGGCTATTGCTGTAACTAGATAATAATTTTCAATTTAAATACTGCTTCTGTTGGGGGATGGAATGCAGCTCTCACAATTATGGGCTTGTTTTAATGCATAAATCAGAGAAGGTACATGAATTCACTCAGACTATGTGGATTCCTGCAGTGCTTCCAAGCCTGCAGCCATCTTCAGTAAATATTATTGCCAATAAAGGAAGATGAAATACATAAACGTAGAAACAAAGCTGCTGAGCAAATTGCAGCTTGCACTTGGGTACTCCTATGTCTGTAAAACTTCATTCCAAGTAAAGAAGTTCCACCAGGAATATTCAGTAGCTTTTCTACAACATTCATCCCACAGGAGAAAATCGGTCAATTTTACTGTCTTGCCACTGCAACCACTAACTAAATCATAGAATCACAGAACAGCCCAGGTTGAAAGGAACCTTGACAAATCACCTGGTCCAACCTTTTGTAGGAAAGGGATCTTAAGTGAGATTATGTAGCAAATAATCAATTTGTCCAATGGCATTTGAAAACTGTCGGTGATGGGCAGTCTACCACATCCTTAAATGTCAAAGTTTTCCTTGAAGCACAAGACAATGGATACATAGAAAAAGTAGGTGACTACCGTTATGTAGCTCTGACCAGGAAGCCTTCCATGTGACTGACCGATGATATGAAGCAATAGCATCATACACTCTATCACTTGGAAAATATCTTTAGGATAAATGTGTCCTCCCATAAGCAGACCACTTAGCAGGAATGTTTGCTCTGTGCTGCTCTGGGATTTGCCATCTTAGAGCAGGGGCAAGTGATGTTTCCTAATCCAGCTGGTTGACTGCAGAAGGGAAGACTGGATTTAGTTGAAATGTGGAAGAACCAGCCTGACCCGTGTTGAGGGGAAAGGGTTTTGGAAAGGGGAATATCACCAATATGGAAACAACTGCCAGTTTGCAGGAGGTACCTGGCTGGACCTGCCAAGTCACCTGTGAAGCCTTGTGTAACTTGTTTGCACCTCTCTTGCCTGGTAGCTGCTTTTTTTGTGGCTTTGTTCAAACAATCATAAAGTAGAACTAAACATTACAAAATGTGCCTGAAGCCATTAGCACAAGACAAAATAGAAGCATTGATTTACTGAGTTTTAGAGCTCGAAGTTAAGCAAACAAAAATAATATCATAATGGTTTGCCTATAAATTTGAATAATACATGACTTATATTCAGATAGGTTTGTCTGGTTTGATTTGCTGTGGATTAACAAATGCTTCACTTGGGTTCAGAACTCACCTGAAATAAAGTAATATAGAGATTAAGCTTAGATGCCTTTCCTTTTTCATTCCTCTTTAACAAAGCCAATTTTTTATTATATATTTTCATTTTTCCCCTCAATGGAAAAAATGGATGTATGTGTATCAGTCTATGCCCGTGTCTTCATGGAATTTGCAAGTCCAAAAATAACACCTGCACATATACCATGTTCATAGAATCATATGCTGAGTTGGAAAGGACCCATCAGGATTATCGAGTCCAACTCCTGAGACTGTGCAGGACACCCCAAGAATCACACCATATGCCTGAGAGCATCGTCCAAATGCTTCTTGAACTCAGACAGGTTTGGTGCTGTGACCACTTACCCAGGGAGCCTGTTCCAGTGCCCAGCCTCCCTTGAGTGAAGAATTTTATCCTGATATCTGTTCCCTGACTCACCTTCATTCCTTTTTCTTGAGTCCTGTCAAGAAACACAAGAGTGAGGAGATGAGTGTCTACCCCTCCTCTTCCCCTCTCAAGGAAGTTGTAACTGCAATGAGGTCTCTCCTCAGTGTCCTCCAGGCTGAACAAACCAAGTGACCTCAGCCACTCCTCTTAAGGCTTCCCCTGCAGACCGTTCACCATCCTCATGTCCCACTTATGGACTCTCTCTAGTGGCTTAATATCTTTTTTTGCAAATTGCAGCACTCTGAGCTCCGCTTCTACATTAAGGATGCTGAGGAGTGCTAGGGTACCCTCATCTGTATGGGAGTTTTAATGCAGAATTTACCTTTAGATTTGAAGGGAATTCTAAAAAAAATCAGTTCAGTGTCTTGCCCAAAATCAAAACACCAGTCCTGTGTGAGACCATATCAGGACAGAAGATTTTACTTCTCTTCCCTAGAGCACCTAGAATAGATGCCTTCCCAATTTTTTTCAGACAGGAGAGCTGAAAAGCAGAAAAGTAAATTTGCTTTGCCAACCACCTGCACTTATATTGTTCTGTCTGTAATAAGAAACGGTCTACTTAGTAATTTTTTTAAAGACTGCTTGTATCAATGACGGCCCTTTTTTCTCAAATATACTAAAGCAATCTCAATTTGAAGTGACATAGGTTGATCAAAGGTGTCAGCAGGGTTATTTTCCTGTGCCTTGTTTTCAGCACAGCATTTGTACAAATCTTTGTAGAGTCAGTAACACTGTTGTAGTTTTACCAAGGTCAGCGTGGCATCAGGCATTCCAGTGCAGCTCTACTTTGTTACTGTTTGATCCCACTAAGTGGAGAGCACGAGATATTAGCCAGCAAAATGTTCGAGCACCCAGTTAATTTTAAACCCAAGAGAAGTCACGCTGAAGTGTTAGTAATCAAGGGGTGTGCTAGTGTTGTTTTAGGTTAAGCAGACTCTAAACATCCTTGCTGAACTGCAGCCAGCACGCTCCTCTGCATCACTTGCAGCAGATGGGCCCCACTCATGTCAGTAAAGTTCATTAAGTGCATGCACAGTTGCAGGATCAGATTAATCAGTTTTATCTTTGATAAATTGTACTTAATCTTCAAACATCAGGTAACTAATTCAAAATTATTGTATTATTACTGCCATCAGTTCAGAGCCTCCCTGCTTATCCTGCCTCTGCCTGCCTGAGCAGGGATTTCCTTCATTGCTGGAAACACATACTGGCAGTAAAGAAAAAGTCCTTTTGGTCAATTCACAACTAATAACTAGAGTTATAAACACGCAAATGCTATCCCTCCCTTCTTCATGTTTTTATTTGTAGTAAGTACTGTTTGGTAAACCTTACCAAATTCCTACCTCTTTTAACAGAAATAATGCATTAACCAAGGGCAATAATTTGAATCAAAGTACTTGTAAAGAGGACTTGGAAAACTGGACCTCCACCAGAGGATTTGGTTTTGTTCGTTTAGTTTTTAGGTTTTGTTTGTTTGTTTGTTTGTTTGTTTTTTCTGTTCCTGGCTGTTCTAGTTGGCAAAACTTGTTTGCTAAAAATTTGCTAATAAATCTGTGTTGGGTTGTTTGGGGTTTTTTTAAATGAACACAGCAATATGTCTGGTAGCCATCAGTGCCTCCCCAATGGAAAACCCTCCAAACCCTACCAAAATACTGCAGAGAATCCTTAACCATTGATCCACTCATTTTAAAAAATGTAGTTTTCAGGAGAACGGTTGTTTATGTTCTTACTAGTTGTTTTTTCAGAAGTACATATGACTAACCTCTTACATAAACTGTTTTATTCCTCCATATAGATTCAGGCAGAGCTTCAGA